TACAACAGCTAATCATAGATGCATGGATTGATAAATTCATGTACGCACACCCCTGGATCTTCAACCTATCCAATTATAGTACACCAGCCTTAGTATACATTTTCTGAATGCCTATCAGCATATTCTTTTTCAATCTTTTATTGCCAATTCATGTTCGACAACAAAAGAAATTAATAGGTCAACTGGGTTACTCGGGTTATTGGAAATTGGAGATGTTATCCTGCTTAAACAGGGTTAAACTGTTTATACACATGCATTATTTGTTTATGCTGAAATCCGCCATTTATTAATGAGGATAGTAACCCGGATCAGCCCGAACAAAACAAAGCGAAACGACAGACAAAAAACACAACTATCTAAACTGATCTTCATGCACTAAGTACAAGTGTTGGAAATGCGATTTTACTATATCTCTATCCCAAATCTAAATGTTAATCGAAAAAATCGGGTAATTTCGTTAGGTGCCAGGCTTTAAACGTCCCCATTTATGCATCAAATTTATAAACTCTGCAGCGTGTCTTTATTCGCTTTGTCTGTTCATTTTTCGGAACAATTGAAGTTCGCGTCGGCCTTTTACCATCATATCATAAATATGTACGTCGAATATAAAGAAAACTACTATGCATTTTCTGAAATTCGCAAGAAAAAAGACGTCATATAGATTTATTTAATTAATTAAAATTTTGAATATACATCACGTAGCTTTATTCGCGCACGATAAGTTTCTTTTTTTACCGTTACATAATTCACGGGATTAGGATGTCGAACAGGGAAGAACTGAATTTGGATGTATCCCTAACCCGGGTTGTGACCCGCTATTAGTCTCAAATGGATGATTAATCCGAAACTTAAAATTTGTATCGGGTACAATCTCTACCTGGTAGGATATTATTTTCGACGGATAATGTATGTAGTGCTAAACGGTACGTTGATTTCATAAAAATGATAAAGAATTCAAACAAATCTTTATATCTTATCCTAGAAAATTGGTGCTTGCAACATATAGAGCTGATCCTAAACATTGTGATGAAAGTTTCTTTAATGTGATTTTATAGATCATCGAAGAATTGGATCGCAAAAGAGTTGTAATTTTGAAGATATTTTGGAATTACTATAAATTAAGATAATTCAAAGAAAAAGGTTTAATTAATGATTTTGAAGATAAGAGTTATATTAAAATTCGAGTAATCTTATTGTTATGAGATGCAGATGGTTCTTTAGAAAGTGATCAATGTATTATTTTATCATGTATTAACACTGACTAAACATTTAAGGTTAGTTAGAGTGTACTATTACAGGATCACAAAAGTTACGTACGTACGTACGTACCATTTACGCAATTGTTACCGGGGCTAATAAATCATGATCTTCAACTGTATTACATAGTGACCACAAGAGTAGAATAATAAAAAATCATCATTGTAAATTACTTTGTTAAGAATTTATGCTGTAGCGATGCGGTACCGATATGTACCAATATTTAATTTCCTAGATCTATTGTTTTCACGTGCAAAAACAAAAAAAAGATGCCCTTTGAGATATCTTCATATAACCATAGTTGGTATTCTGGATATTTTAAGTGCAAATTGCTTCGTTTAGACATTTCGATTATATATTTTAAAATTTTATGATAGATAAAAAACGCCTTCGGCTACTTTAAGTTATGGGTACACAATACAATACGCCTATACTTACATATTTTTGTTGAACTTTGAATCTAATAATAAAGTTTCACAATATCGATACGTATTAAATGCATAGGTTATTTCTTTATTTATTGATTTACAATTTATCAAACAATTATTTATTGTTGTTATGAAAATAAAAATATTTTGTTAATTCCGGTCAAATATAAAATGGCACAAGTATTTATTAATGATCGTTTTTTTCCGTCGAATTTGTCTTCTTGAAAATTTCGGAAATTTAACAAATAGAGGAAAAAAAGATTTATATTACTGTTCAAAAAAACGAAAATAAAATTTATCCAAGAAATTATGTATTATATTTGTAAAAAATGACGACAAATGCAACTGAACAATTACAACTTAATACTACCTCAGCCACATCGACAGTTATATCTTCAATAATTTTTAACACAGCAATTACTGCTGGTGCATTCATTACTTTTGATTTAATAAGAAAGAGATGGGTTAAAATTTTTGAACCAAAAACTTATCTTGTCCCCGAAAGGTAATATTTATGTTTATAAATGTTAATTTGTTAGTATTCAGTGTATTCTTTTTTTCCTAATTATTTCTTATCAAAAGAAAACGTGCGCTCCCAGTTCCTAATGGGTTCTTAAAATGGTTGAGGCCAACCTTAATGGCATCTGATGAAGAGCTCATATTGCGAGCTGGATTGGATGGATATATGTTTCTTCGTGTTATTCGGCTTTTTATGATATTGTTTGCTTTATTCACGATTGTGGGTCTTTGTTTGATTTTACCTTTGAATCATATTAATCAACGAGATAAACGTGGGTTGGAAAGTTTTACCATTGGTAATGTCAAGGATGTATGGAGATTATATGTTCATGTGCTAACCTGTTACATTTTCACCGGTAAGTCATCAATTTTGAATTGTTAAAACCATATAACAATTATATAACAATTATATAACAATTACATGAATTGTATTTATAGCTGCTATTCTTTATACGATGTATCATGAATATTATACGTACGTAAGGTTACGTCACGAATGTCTTACAACACCAGAGCATCGTATATCCCCACGTGCGACCACCATTTTGGTTGTTGGCATTCCTGATCAACTTAATAACGAAGAAGATCTAAAAAACCTATTTAGTGTGTTTCCTGGGGGTGTGAAACGAGTTTGGCTTAATAGGTGATATTTTGTTGAGCAAAAAGTTTCTCAATTTATGATAGTATTTATTTAACGTAAAATCTTATATTCAATTTATTTTAGACATCCATCTAGATTAATAGATCTTACAGTTAAAAGAATGAAATTGATTCATAACCTTGAATATGCCGAAACAGATTTTCTTCTAAAATATTTAAAACATCTTGCAAAGGATGATGAATCAGAACAAGACGTAGAAGATGGAGACAAAGTTCCTATATTTCTGCGTCCAACCCACAGAACAATTCCCTTGATCGGTAAAAAAGTGGATTCTATTGAGATGTATCGCGAAGAGATTCAAAAACTTAATGAAGAAATTAATGAACTGCGGAAAAAGATAGATTCTTTTAAGAAGTTAAGATCTGCATTTGTCCAGTTTAATAATTACGTTGGCGCTCAATTGGCTGCAACTTTGACAATCCCACGATTAACAGAAATAACTCGAGAAGACGTTATTTGGGAAAATCTTAATCTTACGCGTATACAAAGGGTATTTAGAAAAGTAATAAGCATCTCAGTTACGACAGCTTTAATAGTTCTTTGGATTGTACCTGGTAATTATAATTATATAATTAAATTATACAGAATTTATAATTATATATTTTTAATATGTTTTCCTTTACTTTGTCTCACATGATAATTTCATTTGCAGTCTTATTTGTTGCATCGATTAGCACACTTTCTCAGTTATTAAAGGTTATTCCTTTCTTATCTCCACTCGTAAACAAACTTCCTGTAGCAGCAATTGGTGTCATTCAAGTAAGTATCGTTGCATTATTATTCAAATATTATCATATCTCCAATCACATATATATTTTATATATTCGTTTGTTAATATAGGGTATCCTGCCAGCTATTGGCTTGGCAATCTTAATGGTGATCTTGCCTAGGTTTCTGAGAAGTATGATTAATACTTGATTAATTTATTCTTTCGTTAGTAATAAACATAAAAAATAATATCTTAATATTATTTACAGTGTTGTCAAGATTCGAAGGATTTGTTAGACATTCTGCTGTTTCTCTAAGTTTGCAAGAAAAATACTTTTTCTTTCTGGTAAGTTGCACTCGACTTCACATTTATTTTATTTTAGCATTCAATACATATTAACTATATAAAAATTTTAGCTTATTAATGTGTTACTGGTTACTACTTCCGCAAATGGTGCATTTCAAGCTCTTCCTACACTTCTTAATAATCCACCAAGCATCATATCTAGTCTTGCTGAAAATTTGCCATTAGCGTCAACATTTTTCCTTACTTATGTTCTCCTTAGTTTGACTACTGCTGGACTTGAAAGTTTACAACTTGGAACTTTGGCTATGTATTTATTAAATAAATTACATGTTAAGACCCCTCGTCAAATTTTGGAAGTTGAAACATCTTTAACGTCTAAAGATTGGGGTATTACTTTTCCACCACATATTTTGATGGCTTCAATCGGTAAACTTTTCATTCATATAAAAAAAACTTAATTAATATCACATATAACAATACCAATTTATTATATTAAATATAGGTCTTGTTTACTCTTTGATTCAGCCTCTAATTTTACCAATTACAACGTTGCACTTTGTACTATTTTATGTTGTATATCGGTACAATTTCTTATATGTTTACGAACAAGTCCAAGAAACTAATGGTGTTTTATTCTTACATGCAATGAAACAATTTTATTGGGGAATATTAATTTTTCAATTAACTATGATCGGTCTAATGTCTCTTAATCAAGCATTCATTCCTGGTGTACTCTTAATAATCTTATTTGTCATCACACTTGGCGCAATTCTTGGTATGAGAACTTATTTCAATCATAATCCAAAAGCAGAATTTTTACCTGTGGACTTGATGGGTATAATTGATATTAAAACGAGAAAAGTTATTATTGACACGGAAATTTTTACAAAGTCGATTTCCACTGTCACGGAAGAAGTCGAATATGATGAAAAGGCTGATCTAGGTTCTACTAGCAAACAAGTTTCTGAAAAACCTACGGATGATGAATATGATGAATACACTGATCCAAATGTAGTTCATATCAAGCATGGAGAGTTAGAAAAAGATAGTCCAAACACATATACACATCCAGCTCTTATAGTTAACAACCCTATAGTTTGGATACCAGAAGATAGTGCAAAGGCATATGTAGAGGAAGTTAGAAAATGTAAAGATCATGGATTAAATGCGATGAGCCAAGGTGCAACGATAAGTGAAAAGTATAAAATTAAAGTAGACATTACAAAAGCTCCTAATATTAAGGATGAACTTTTTGTGGAGAGTGCGGAAATAACGTTTAAAAATTCAGTAAAAGTGACTGATTAATCTTTTTCATTTATTTTGATTGTTGAAAAAGAAATTCAGTAATCAACGTATTTTGTGTTTTTCAGCATATTTGGAGAATTATCTCCGTAAAATGTTCTTGCATTGGTAAACGTATGCGAGGTTATTGAAAAGGTTTGTCAAGTTTTTATGCAATTATGATATTGCTAAGCAAAGCTTGATTTATTAGTTAAAAATTCGTAATATAGCTGTTTTATAATTTACCGAATTTTGTAATTTTGTAAATAAATTTTATATACCAAAAAAATTTTTTTTTTTTTGATATTTTAAATTGACAACTGCATTTTGAGTCGATCATCCAGGTTATCGGTATGATGCAAGTAGTGTTCCGAGTTGGTAAATATTTTACCAATCGATTAGTTGCCAACTATAGTTGCAACTAATCGATTGTACACATCACGTGGCATCATCAGATGATTAGCCAATCAAACCAAAGGAATTAATTCGGATCTGCCCGACTAGACGGAATTTCTCGGAATTGCACTAGTTGAATGATTAATCGATTAGTTGTTTAAAATTTTTTAAATCGACTAGTTGGAAAGTTGGCAACTAGTTTATTTTTCAACTACCGATTTGGAACACTAGATGCAAGCAATCAAATCCGATTGTTTTTTGCACCATATTCTCGGGCATATTTTTATTATGCCGTTAATCACCATGTGTCTTTAATCATAAAGCTGTCTTGAAAGAATGCGCATAGAAGTTTTTCGGATCAAATTTTTATAATTTGCTAATTATTCCTGTTAGAAAACTTTCATTCATTATTATTGCATGCATATTTCTTTATATAAAAATGTAAATTTCTTGAACTGCTTTCGTTATTACATTTACGATGGGTTGATTTTTTTTTTTTCGGATCGATTGGAAGGTGGGAAGACGTTTATGTGATTGGCCAATTTAGTTAATTATTAACCAATAAATCAAAGAAAGTCAATACTGCAATATTAAGAGTTTTAAAAGTTTTAGAATCATTAAACATCTATGTTTAGCTCTTACAAAACAGTTGATTTACAAAAGGTTTTCGAATTATTGCTCTGTTAAGTTTTAATTCAAAATTTAAAAATTTTATCATTTGGCGCGGATGCGTTGTGACTAGGGTGTCCAGAATTCTGCAATTTTTATCCATTATTTTCTGCACATAATTGGATAGGTTGAAGATCCAGGGGTGTGCGTACATGAATTTATCAATCCATGCATCTATGATTAGCTGTTGTA